TTCCAGGCTTCATTCATCAAAACCTCTAAATCTTTATTGGCAGGGTGATCTATTTTCTGCAATCTTTTTCTAATATCAGGATTACTTTGTCCCCACTAAATGTAGTTTACCTTCTTCTGATGATGGATCTAAGGTGGTATATTTTCTCATAGCAGCCCTCAGTCTATCCAGAAACTCTGTGGGGGTTTCATTTCGTCCCTGCCTTACATCATACAAGGCTGCCCAATTCACTGCTTTAGGGATAGCATTTTGTAATCCCACCATAATCAAATCTCTATATTTTACCAACATTTTATAATGCTCTGACCTGTTTGGATCCCAGTTAGGTTGTTGCAATGGAAAAATTTGATCTACATCCCCTGTTAAAACTCCCGTGGCAATCTGGCTCATTACCTCTCGTCTAGCTGTTTTTATTACCAGGTCTTACTCTGTTTCTGTCAGTTCTGATAACATCAAATCAATATAAGTCCAGTCTGTTTCTTGATTCTTTGCAATTAATTCAAATCTCTTAGCCACTTTCTCAGGATTTTCCCTGAAGCACTTAGCTTCCTCTCTCCAGCTGTTCAAATCCCTAGCCGAAAAGGGTGCTTTCACTTTTGCCTGCGTGCCTGTAGGTGCTATTACCTGACGCAGAGGCACTAACATATGACCAGTCCCTGCTGTTTGAGCCCTTGTCTTGACCCCGCTCCTTCTTCTACCACTCTGTGCCGAAGCCTGCCCACGATGAGTGCTACTTATCCCTTCCTCGGGGTCATCTATGCTCTCAGCTATACTTCTAGAATCATCTGCTCCTAATCCCAATTCCTGCGGGCTACCTGGTCCTTGCCTAGGTGGCTCCGGTCCTCTAAAATAAGCTGACTGTAATTCCTGAGGGTCCAAGATACTATCTCCATCACTCTCTCTCCTTCCCAGCTTAAGACACCTCTGACCTATGCTACAGGCATCACAGCAATGCTTTTTTGGCTTAGTATTTTTCTGATTTCTTTCTAATGCCAACACAAGAGGGTCCTGGGGGGCTACATTAATTCCACAGCTTTTCTACCACTCTGGTTTATTCCTTAGCGTAAAAAACATGTCGGCATACATGACTTCATCCCACTTTTGCTCCCTATAGAGAAATAACATAAGCTGTAAAATGGTGGTGTAATTAATGCTCCCCTGTGGAGGCCATTTTTCGCCATCATCTAAAGTATACAAAGGCCACCAATTCTGGCAATATTTTAAAAAGGTCTTTTTGCTCAAATTACCCCCAGGAGTTCCTCCTAATTCTTTCCAGTGACTCAATATACATCCTACGGGAGTCTTAGAATTTATCTCCTTACTTCCACCGATTCCCATTATGAAAGCAGGGAATTAGATCTGAAATACGCTAACAACCACAACTACTATATTCTACACAATATTCAACCACCAAACCCTAATATTGCTTTTCAGCAAAAGATTTCCTAAAATTACCAGCCTTATAACCAGCTTCTAAAATTACTAGTTCTTGTAACCAACTTGCACTAATACAAAAATCCACAAGATGTTGCCCTTAGACCACAAATACACCTGGCTCTCACAACGAGCCTATATATCCACATAAATCCACAAGATACTGCTGTTAACCACCGAACGCACACTTTATAACAAATCTGTATACTCAAAACACAAAATCCAAACCAGATGTTAAACTTCTGGGCGTATTGAAAGAGACACTGGCCTATGAATCCTACAACAATAATACCGGACGCACCTAGTTTCCTCTAGAGTTTGATTATTTCCACATCTAACACAATACAAATTTAAAGTCCAACCTAACCTTATTTCTTGGGAGGATCTGGGTCCTAGAATGTACTTAAAACAGTTGTTACATAGAGCACGCACATACAATGAACAATTGCAAAATGGACAGATCTTAATTCTGGGTTTTAAGCTATGTGGTAGATGTGCTGCCGCGGTCGCCAAATGAATCCAAAAAATCGGTCTGACAAACTGCTCACAGACTTTTGATCTTTTGAGCAGCAAAGGTGTTTATTAGCAGTGCTGGGAGCAAGCCAGCTATTGCTGGAAAAACTTGCTCACCGGCTCCTCAGAAAATCAGCACTTTTATACAATTTTCAGATGTGATTAAATGCATATTCAAACGATTACAACATCTACAATACATATTAAAAATAGGCGGAGCTTGGGGTGGTGCTTCTCTTGGCACCCCATTTGGAGGGGTCGTTCCCATCTTCATCCATAGGGCAAGGGTCTCTAACTCCTCTTCCTCAGCTTGACCCTTCTTCTTTTCCATTGTTCTTGACCCGCTCACTGAAGCTAGAAAAAGGCCCTGGCTCCAGGCCTATTTCTCCTATTCAAATGTCTACCTGATCCTGCTGTATTTCTAATTTATTGCTTCTAGGCCTATTACATGTTCTTGTACTATTCTCTTAAGCTTTGGTCCAGTAAGTAGAACAAAACGGGTACAGATCGTTTTGGATGTTGGTAACTTGTTTGCAGGCCCAAATTTCTTAGTTAACTCTTTTGGGCCTAGCCTCCTGTATCAGGGTGTCAGAGCTGGTGGAGCTTTTCTTCCTGTCAGAAAACAGCCTAAGAAAGAACTAGTGCCACCAAGGGCAGCTGGGGTGGCCTAGACTGGTGACAAGAAGTCAGAAATTTCCCTCTGAGGTCAGTGTTGTGGTGCAATGTGTCACAAAGAAGGAGTCTGGATGAGCCCAAGGCTTTGTGTGTGCAGGAAGAGCCAGGGAGGACGCAGAGATGTCAGTGCAGGAAGGTGCCAGCCAGGTGGGGCAGCCGGGGGGATGACGACAGCCTGCAGGGAAAGGGGCAGGGCATGGACACCGTAGGACAGCCTGGGCTGGAGAGGAGACAGGGAGGGGGAGAAGCTGAAAGGCCCTGACAGAGCCACCTTCTGCAGGCCTTTGGCCATGGCTGCTGTCTGTGCCCCTGATGCCAGGAGGAGGGGAGTGCCCCTTGCAGCCCTGGGGCCTCATGGCCTCCTTGTCCCTGCTCAGCAGCCTGGCAGGTGCCACCCCATGGTCCTGCCCTTGGCATTGCACATCCCACATCCCAGTGCCCCAGGAAGAGCCCTGAGGAATGAGGCAGGGACAGGATCTGCCTTCCCAGGGGCTGGGGGTCAGGGCTTGGTCTGTTGGATTAAGGAAACAAGTCAAGGTTTATTCAGCATCAGAGCCACCTTTCCCTTGCTTGTCCATCCTTGTCATCACTGTCTGCAGTTTTCTGCTCTAACTGGAACCTGGGGACATGTTCTCAGTTGTGTCCCTCAGTGAGACTCATTTGCACTACAAGAAACTTCAGTGTTTGAATCTCACTTTGACTTCTGGAAAAGTTGTTTGAACTTCCTCTCAGGGACTGAGTCTCATGTAAACAACATCAAACCCCCTGAGGGTCACTAAATGCCTGGGGCTGTTGCTGTGCTGCTGAGCTGGGCCCGGCTCCTGGCACACAGGGAGCTCCTGGCAAGCAAGAAGAGCTTCCAAGAGACAGCTCTGCTGGTGAGCAGCTCCTCTGCACAGCCCAGCAGGGCTGAGGGCACTGCCAGGCCAGCTCAGGGACACCAGCAGGGCACAGACAGAGCTTCAAGGGGCTCAGCACTGGCAGGAGGGCTGAGAGCTCCCTGCAGGAGGAATCTTGGCAGGGCTGCACATGGTGAGTCTGTGGCTGCAGGGCAGTGCAGGGGCAGCTCCTGGAGGCATCTCCTAAAGCTGGCCCAGCCCCAGCTGATGGGATGGGTGAGCAGGGGCTGTTTTGGGGCACTTTGGCAGAGCTGTGAAGCCGGGGGTGCAGCCAGGGGTGGCCAGGGCTGTGGGGCAGAGCAGGGTCCTGCAGCCCAGGGCTTTGTGCTGGGCAGGGACTCTGCTGCCTGCCAGGGGCAGCTCTCAGCCGGCCCGGGGAGCTGCTCCCAGGGCTGGGGCACAAGGGCTGTGGGCAAGGAGCAAACCTGGCAGGGGAGGGAGGATCTTTTCCGTGTCTTGCTGTTTCAGGGTCAGACCTGCTCACAGCTCCAGATCACTACACCATATTTAATGCAGAATTTTTTGCAAAGCTCACAAAAGACAGGGACTACAGGAAAGGAATTAGTCCTGCTGGTAGTTTCCTGCTTAGGCATTGTAGCAGAGACATTGTTCTCTCAGGTCAGGAAGCTGCACTGAAATTCCAGCTCTTTTACTCTCAGAGGTGAATATTTCAGGCAGTGTCAGAGATGAGCACAGGATCCTGGGCAGTGCTGAGCCTTCCCTTGGGAGTGGGCACTCTCCTGTCCCAGCCCTTGGCTTCTCTGCAGGAGGGTTCCTGTCCTGCTCTGTCCAGCACAGCTGCACCTCTGGGCTGGCACAGGGGACACTTCACAGAGCTGCCCTTTCAAGCAGCGCTGCCCTGCTCTCAACACAGATCTTGGTGGTGTTTGTAAAGATGAATCCGTGTGTGAAGTCATCTTCAAGGCAGCCAAAGGGAAAGTGCAGAGCAGATGAGAAACAGGCTGAGAGGCACTGCAGCTCTCCTGGCTCTGCAATAAGCAATGGAGAGCTCAGCCCTTCTGCCTGTCCTGGCTCAACACTCGTCAGATTTGTCATCAGAAAAATTTGCCCCTAAAAAACACCCCCCAAGTGTTATGACTGTAACCAAAAAACCCAGTTAAAATTATTTTAAGGATACACTCTGCCTCTCTTCTGCAACCCAATTGCTCCAAGACAACAGCACAGGAACTGAACTTTTCCATCAAAGCTGGGTTCCATGTGACATCCCCTGTGATCATGAGAGCTGTCCCAAACCAGCTCCATGTCTGCACTGCAGCAGAGCAAAGCTGAGTCCTCGGCAGCACATGGGCAGAGCTCCTGCTCCTCACAGAACCCTCAGAGAGCACAAACTAGAGAAAAGAAATGCCTTGACTTGGAGGGGATTTCCCTGAAAAGTGCACTGGCTTTGCTGAGAGCGGGCTGCGTTAATTGTTCCCTGTGCTTTCCTTTTCTGAACAGACTTGTCCTAAGGAACAGCAAATGTCCAACAGCAGCTCCCTCACCCAGTTCCTCCTCCTGGCATTCGCAGACAGGAGGGAGCTGCAGCTCCTGCACTTCTGGCTCTTCCTGGCCATCTCCCTGGCTGCCCTCCTGGCCAACGGCCTCATCCTCAGCGCCGTAGCCTGTGACCACCACCTGCACACCCCCATGGGCTTCTTCCTGCTCAACCTCTCCCTCACAGACCTGGGCTGCATCTGCACCACTGTCCCCAAAGCCATGCACAATTCCCTCTGGGACACCACAACCATCTCCTACATGGGATGTGCTGCACAGCTCTTTTTCTTTCTGTTCTTCATCTCAGCAGAGTATTTCCTCCTCACCATCATGTGCTACGACCGCTACATTGCCATCTGCAAACCCCTGCACTACGGGACCCTCCTGGGCAGCAGAGCTTGTGCCCACATGGCAGCAGCTGCCTGGGCCACTGGCTTTCTCTATTCTCTGCTGCACACAGCCAATACATTTTCCCTGCCTCTGTGCCAGGGCAATGCCCTGGGCCAGTTCTTCTGTGAAATTCCACAGATTCTAAAACTCTCCTGCTCAGGCATGTCCCTGAAGGAAATTGGGCTTCTTGCTTTTAGTGCTTTTCCTTTTCTGGGTTGCTTAATTTTCATTGTTTTCTCCTATGTGCAGATCTTCAGGGCTGTGCTGAGGATCCCCTCTCAACAAGGACAGCACAAAACCTTTTCCACGTGTCTCCCTCACCTGGCCGTGGTCTCGATCTTTGTCAGCACTGGCATATTTGCCTACCTGAAGCCTCCCTCCATCTCCTCCCCATCCCTGGATCTGGCCCTGTCAGTTCTGTATTCAGTGGTTCCTCCAGCACTGAACCCCCTCATCTACAGCCTGAGGAACCAGGAGCTTAAGGATGCCCTGAGAAAAATGATGACTGGATACTTTTCAGGACCAATTATGTGCCAGGTTTTTGGTGTGTAGTATTCCGAATGGGACTCCTTAATGGCCCAGCCTTCCTGCTCAGGTTTTTCGTGGAGGTCATTGGGTTCTTGCAATAACTTTCTGTGCAATTAAATATTATTATGCCTCTGTTTTCTAAATTAGTGTCCACCTTTTGATTTTGACACTGAGACTGTATAAATGATGAATTGTACTGGCTGAGTATTTAAATAAAATAAAGGACCCTGCAGTGCCTTCTTTGTCCAAGACCCTTCTTCTTAGATGTTCCTAAAGGACAGCACACTGCAGGACAGGGTGTATTTGCAAACAGGAAGGGGACAATAATCCCAGCCCAGCAGCACTGCCAGGGAGCAGCAGGGCTTGGTCTTTCCAAAGCTGCTCTCTTGCCACTCCCACACTGTCCTCCTGAGCCCCTTTCTCGCTGTAAGGCCTGAGTGCTCTCTGAGCACAGTCCTGTGGGCTGGAAGCCCTTGGAGCACAGGCAGGGACTGGTCCTGGGAACTTGTGAAGCAGAGCTGGGCTCCCTTACAGCACCTCCAGGATGCTGTGGGATTTTCTGAGAGCAGTGCCTGTACTGGGTCACTTCTTCTGTCACCTTGCTCCAGGGCTGGAACTCTCCTGCAGTGACACCATGACACTCCTGCTCTCTGCTTTCCAGGTTTCATTTTCAGATCCAGTCTTCCCTTCCTGTTCACAGGGACATCCTGGGAGTGCTTCAGAGCTGCCATCCTGGGGCAGCTCCTGCCCAGCGTGGGCAGGCACAAGGTCTCTCCACCTGCTCCTCTCACCTCCCCAGTGCCACTGTTTTCTGCAGCCTCCTCATCCTTGCCCAGCACAGCCCTCCTGGCACAGTTGGACACAGCCCTTGTTCTACCCCCTCCTCAGGCACCTGCCCGACCCCCTCAGCTCCAGCCTGAGGGCCAGAAACCTTCAGGGCAGGGAGGCACCAGGGAAAATGCTGAGGAAACCTTTCAGCTGCACTCAGATCCAATTGGAGGGGTTGGTCTCTAGGGAGAAATCCCTTCTCATTCTCCAGAACCTGCAGGACAACCTGTGTTGTGTCCTGGGCACTCCTCTGGCAGTGTGAGATACTGCAAAGGTTTTGGTGTCAGGGATATTGAGAAGGCTGGGCAGTGTCACTGGGAGAACTCTTCCAAAGACTTGGAAAGGCCAGAGCCAGCCCAGAGCTTCCTGGGGCCTTGGCAAAGGCAGACATGGAAGCAGTCTGCAAACAGGGCAGCAAGGAGGGTTGGCAGAGTTCCAGACTGCTCAGGCTCAGGAGGGAAGGGGATGTGGCAAGTCCTCCTGCAGCCATTGCCAGGTGTGGAAAGGACAAGGAAGGGATTGCAGAACCCCTGTGGGAGGGAATAGAGAGGATGTTGTGTGGCCAGACCTGAGCAAGGCCCTTGACATGGTCTCCTGTGGTCTCCTTATGGCCGGATTGGTAAGAGCTGGACCGAAGATGTGGAAGATGGTGGGAAGTTGGCTGAATGAAGAGTGTCAAATAAAATCCATGGTACAAATTCCTCTTGGCTGCAACCTCCTGGTGAAATCCCTCAGTGAGCAGCCCTTGAACACCACTAGAGAACATCTTTATTATCTCTCTGTACAATGGGATAAAATGTATTTTCAAGTCCTTTGTGGATGATGCCAAATTTCAGGGAGCCCTTGAGCAACCATTCCTGGTTTAAAGACACAGATTGGGGTGGGAACTCCAATAAAATGAATTCACTCCTCTTTTATTCCCCACCAGTACAAGGACACAAAATATAAGGAGGTAGAGGCGAAAACAAGTTTACTGACAAGAAATAGAGCAGCAAAACCAGCAATACCAACAGAACAGTTCAAAGCAACAGCAGAGAAAGAAATTGCCTCCTCTCTACCCGTCTGCCCCAACTCACTTTTGTAAAGAGATACAAACAGGGATCAACACGTGCCTCCCTTCCCCCTTTTCCCCCGAATGAACAAAGAACAAAAAACAAAACCAGGGGAGAGAGGGGGCAAAGCAAATGTGGGAAACTCTCTGGTCTGAGATCAGTTGTGCTGCCCAAGAACACGCTGACTCCAGAGGTGTCCAAGTGGGGCAGAGCCGGCGACTCTGGTCCGTGCGGCGGCGGGGGGGAGGCAGCGGCTCTGCTTGATTCCATGGAGTTCTGGGGAAGCACAGTGGCCTCTTGGTTCCAGGAGGTTCTGAGATGTCTCAGGGTTCCTTTTGTTCCAAACAGACCCCACATGTCACAATGGTCCCTTGGTTCCATGAGATTCCACAGTGTCCCTGCATTCCTTTGG